CTGCTCAGGGAGGAAACCCTATACCATTTCGGACAAATGGCTGTCCAGTTTCTTCTTAAAAACTTCCAGTGTTGGAGCATTCACCGCTTCTGGAGGCAAGTTGTTCCACTGGTTAATTGTTCTAACTGTCAGGAAGTTTCTCCTTAGTTCTAGGTTGCTTCTCTCCTTGATTAGTTTCCATCCGTTGCTTCTTGTCCTGCCTTCAGGCGCTTTGGAAAATAGCTTGACTCCCTCTTCTTTGTGGCAGCCCCTGAGATACTGGAACACTGTTATCATGTCCCCCCTCGTCCTTCTCTTCATTGGCAGAGAACAGTTAATTTTCCAATTCTAGTGATTGTAACACAAGCATACTTTATTTAAAAAGGACACACTTAAGAAACACTGGAAGACCATGATTCCATTATATGCAAACTACACTGAAATATATTAAGTGTATATTATATTATATATATTATATTCGTGAATGCAACAATAGCAACGTGAAGTATTAATACCACTTTACAATGCCTTGGTAAGGCCACACTTGGAATACTGCATCCAGTTTTGATCACCACGATGTAAAAAAGATGTTGAGACTCTATAAAGAGTACAGAGAAGAGCAACAACGATGATTAGGGGACTGGAGGCCAAAGCATATAAGGAAAGGCTGCTGGAATTGGGTATGTCTAGTTTAACAAAGAGAAAGACGAAGGGGGACATGATAGCAGTGTTCCAATATCTCAGGGGCTGTCACAAAGAAGAGGGAGTCAAGCTATTCTCCAAGACGTACACGTCTTGTAATCAGAATTCTTTAATTCTGAAAGTTCCCTTCTAACCCTCAAAATTATAAATGGTATATGAGCTACTAAGAGATATCTTTGAAGAAAGCCTGTCATAATAATTTGTCCAAAATTATCAACACATTATTTACATATATTTTGGCCTCAATCCCTGAGACACTTTCAATATCTCAGTGTCTTCTACTGACAGAAACTGTGGCAAGGCACTCTATGAAACGAGTTTTGATGGAAATCCTTATGCAAATAATGTTACAGTGAAAATAAAATCTCATGCCGTACTTTGGTGTGGAAGGGATAAAATAAGGACACTGATAAACGTCAAGACTGATAATCAGCATTCAGAAGGTCTTGAGTTAGAATTTTTATCAACAATTAAAATCCTTGCTTACTACTTACTCATGTAGGCTAAAGAGAGTTATATCCCACTTTATATCAATAAAAAGTGTTTGGACCCTTTGGGATTTTAAAAAATGTGTGACAGTATTATTTCAATTTGGAAATTATAAATAAACAGACTTCTTAGAACATATATCAATGAAGGTGGTGTTTTTAAAAATTGTCCACCCATTGTGCAATGTTCCAGAATAATGTTTCAAACAAACTGGGACTAAAAATTATTGGAAAATTTATTTCAAACGATCAGAATCCTAGAGTTGAAAGGTCCCTCAGAGGATAGCTGGTCTACTTAGTTCAGACATTGTTTTTAAGAACAGTTAAGAACTGGAGTGAAATGTAAATTGGATCACAGTCTTGTTAGTTGACATGACTAAACATAATCATCCACACTGCACTGAAATAGTTTCTATCTATTCATTCAGTTGAGATAGCAAATGCAGAATCTTTTTTGAGTTGCTGCCTTTTAAACGTGGAATGCTTCTGCAGCCACGCTCAGCTGTGAATCTAGTCATGTTTTTATTACATGACATTCTCTCTAGGGATAGGATTAAAGTTTTCTTGCTTCAGTTTTCATTTGTTATATTACCTTATGAAATTGTTTGTGATGTTCCTTGTAAGACAGTTTGCCCCGTAGAAGATTTCACAGCAGTTCAGAGATACAAATTACATCAGAGATTAAGCCTTCTAGTCTGCTGATTTCTCTACAAAGAATAGGATTAGTAATTTATATCTTTCTATATTTTTGTATAATGAGTATGAACAAGGCTTGCTAAAGTCTTAATATCGAGGAGGTACACATGCTGAGAAATAACCCAATTTGTCTGGTTGGCATAGGGAAACCATTTGATTTATATTAATGAACTTGTAAATGAGAATATGGAAATAAATAGGCTAAAGCCTTCTAAAGGCATTAAAGTATCGTAGGATGTGTGTGTGTGTGTGTGTGTATACACACACACAAACACACACACACACACACACACACACACACACACACAAGCTTAATCTAATCCTCAAGAATTTACCATAACATGTGCTTTCAACACAAAGCCTATAATGCCCTCATTTGGTAGGTGGAATTGTTACACACAAGTGCACCATTAGGATCACACTTGCTTTAATGCAACTTTATATTTCATCTTTGGCTGACAGAAAGCTATCTTTCTCCTGTTTGAGCACAAATCTTTACCTTTTCTGACATCAGTAACATTAGCTAAAATGTAATCTGTTGCAACACAGGGAGAATCCATATTTTTAGATTTTGTATTTGTGAGCTGCAATGGGCTGTTCTGATTTATTAATTTTTGGTTCAATAAACTATGAAATTCTTTTTGACAAAAAAAGGAAAAATACATGGTTTTAATTAGCAACTAATTTGAGATTTGCAACATAATTTCTTTTTTCTTCCATCCTCAATAACTTCCATGTCTACTTAGCAAATTGTCTTTTAGCTCCAACACGCAGTGAAAAGATTGGACTATGGAATTCAATTAACTCCTGCAAGGGTGAATCTGGTTCAAAGGACAAAGATATATTTATTTTAATATAGACATTTTAATAAATGAACATCAGATATTTTTCCGTAAGGAAGGGTTTCAATGAATAAACTAAATATGCTGTAAACATGATTTGAAATGCTACCTCTCTATTTAAGAAAAAATGCTTTGTTTATAATATTTGTCTCACTTGCCTCATGTTTCTTTCCCTACCTGTGGGATCAAATCAGGTGCTATAATTCTGATCAAATATGGTGAGGTACTCAAATTCTTGTTCTTGTTTATCAACCAGCTAAAGTTGGGATTTTTGTGGCTCATGAAGATTTGTAAGATTTTGCTATCATTGTTAAATTATTATCAACCAGGAATTATTTCTGAGCAACATCAAACATCTGTACTAGTTATGTTCTTAAGATGTTCTGAGACTACCAATCACATATTGGATAATTGATATGGAGTTTTCTGTTTTACTATGAATGACTTTGGCTAATTATAACATTTGACCAAAAACACATTTTTGATTCTTTTAATTCACCTTCTGTGCTAATCACAAAAGATTAACACAATAGAATTGTAAAGTGCACTTATAAAAAATTAACAACAGTAGAACAGATTATGTATAAATCTGGTAAAAAATATTACATGCCTAAACAAGTTTTAATTTGGCACCAACACCGCAGGCACATAAGTGAAGGCAGAATTTCTACAAAAACCTTCTCTCGTGTTCCCTTCCAACAAACCACACAAATTCTTTTTATAAAAAGTTAAGGCATGTATAAGTTAGGGTTTGGAAAGGAATTCCTTCACTTGTTTGACTTGAAAAACATAAATAGCCAATAAATCCAACTCTCAGGGCCAATTTGAACTGTGGCAACTGCATTTGCATCCACTGAAATTGCTAGTTTTCTTCTAGGCCGGCCCTAAGTACAGCACTCTACAATATTAAAAGATTATCAAAGCATGCATCACTCTGACAAACTAATCACTCTCTGGAACAATCACAGATTGGTCAACCAAACAAAAGTGGCAGAAGGCCCACTGTATTATTTGTGTCTTTGTTTATTTAACAAGTTTCTATTCCCTTGTAATAAAAATTATTCTGGTGGCTGATGCAGAATTATGTGTGCTTTAAGTGATAATACTGGATATAGATAGTTCTCCAAATTTTCTGCTTCTAAGATTGGGATATGTAAAATTAGTGGACCAAAATTATTGTAAACACAAATCAAATTATAAGAATTCTTGTAAACCCCTTCAAAGTCTCTGAAGAAGAGAACAAACAATTCAGTCTAAAAGCACATTCTACTCATTTTTAAAACAAACTATTGTGCAACAAATAACGGCCTGTCAGGTTATATCTTAATTCTTTCTTTCACGCACTAGCTGTGTTCATTTCATGTCACAAGTTTATTCCATCCTGTTTTTATATTTTAAATCTATTAAGCAACGTCAACTTGAATTTCCCCTGAATAATGCTGCAGGTTAGATATAAAAATAGGGACGGTACAATCTTTGAGGGGTAACATTTATGTCAGTTAATTAATATGGATAGTTGAGCTTTACATCTATCTCTTTTTCATGTTTGCACATTTGGGAAATATCAGTGCCTGATACCCACAGAGTCATAACACTCTATAGAGATTTGAAAGACAAGACATTGAAAACCGCAATTCTTTTTCTGCACAGAACCTGGGTACAAGGGGTTTCCCATAGTGATACTGGTTTATAGTATATATTCAAGAATAAATTAGTAGGTTTTTGCTATATTATATTCTGCATTTCCCAAACCCGCAGTCATAGATTACCGTAATTTAGTTCCAAAGCTTCATTCTGTACAAAAAGGAGGTCTCCATACTGTCTATAGTAATGGATATGTATTATATTCTGAAAGAAAGACAATTTTAAAGAATTCTGTCTACATCAGTCTGGGTGCCTTCCCATTATTTGGATTTCAACTTACAAAATGATCAGTAAGGGCCAGACTGGATAGGGCTGCAGTCTCAATCTTTGACACATTATGTATTAATAACATCTAAAAAAAACCCTGTTGTTAAATGTGCTATCTGAAGAATTTGAAAAAAAAAACTTTTGGCTTTTAAAGTTCAGTTTAAATGGGATGTTTTGACCCTGGCACTGAAATACACTTCTGGAACTAAGAAAGTCTAATTCAACAATTGAGTTTAAATTCTTTATTGTTTAATGTTCTTTGAGAAATGACTGGGATTATTGGAAAATCCTAGGTAGACCATATACCCCAAAACAAGAACAAAAATCACTTCATTATTTGACATTTTTCCAGGGTATTTAAAAATACATATGACAGACTTACCTGTTTTTAGTGCTTCCCTTTTGACAATATTTGTTCGGAAGAATGTTCTAAAACTTAATGGAGTTATGTCACCATATGTTGACATCTTCTCTACAACTTGTTTAAACATTTCCACCATACCATGCAGGACTAGATCTAAATTGATTGTAGAAGCTGATGATGAAGTCACAGTTAAAGATATGGTAACAGCAGTAGCACATGTTGGATAGGACTGCATAGCTTCACATCTAATTTGGCAGCTCTCCAGTGACCTTATCTGTGTAAGTTTCTGCCTCTGTTGTTGGTCTACTACTGCAATGACATGCCATTCAATGGAAGCAGCTCTTGGAAGAAAAGGTACCACAACTACAACTAGTTCTCCATGTGTTGCAGGCATATCATTATTTATGTCTTCATCTTTTGTCTGGAAATAAAGCAGACCACACCAAACATTAGAAAATATTATTGTTTAAAGGTGTATATACAGTATACATATATGTACACATACATAGAGGGAAAAATTATAAAGATTTAATGCACAAGGACTGGTAAGCTATGCACTTCATTGTATAGATCAAATAACACATGTCACATAAAATTTTGTTTTATGTGAAAAAATAAGATGAAAAAGGAGGAAGCAACAAAATGTATTTCATAAGAAGAAAATAATTTAGAATTATTTTTAAACACTAATTTAATGTGGTCCATATTAAATAATGATTTATCTTTCTGTTACATTGATAGCGAGTTCACAAACAGAAATCTTATGATGGCTAGAAAAGCAAATGAATAGCAAATCAGAGAGGACCATTTTATAAACCCAGGTTGGATACAACTAACTGGCCAATATGAAAAATGGCCTCATGCCATTCATTACAACAAAAAAGCAAATAAAGAATTCCAGAAACTTAAAAAAAACTTAATTCCTGCAGCAGACATACATACAGAATCATATTATTAATCTTTGTAGGAGCCAATTTTCATCCTAACTAAGGCTGCTTGTTTCTGAGTCCATGGAGTTCCTTGAAAGTATAGAGTTTCTAGAAAAAAGGCATCTGGGGCACCTATTATTGATCCAAGGTTGTAAATCTGGGGTTGCAGAATAAAATTTATGCAAAATGCTGGTGACTTAACATGGCCTCTTCACAGGGATATGAAAACTAATTCCTGTTTCCCAAATCACCACAGCAGAAATTCCTTTGTTTGTTTTCCCAGGGTGTTGATTCAGCCAGTTGTGGTGGGACTTTTCCTGTTCTAAAATCACTTTGCTTTCACTGGCTCTTGATACTGTAGCGTATTTTAGTTCTTTTCCTTCCAGAGTGATTTGCTGCCCTTTACATTATGCTTCTTTTTTTTCATTTCCCAGCTGGTCTAGAACTCCCTTCAACTGCTCCCAGAGTAGTACTCCTAAACAGCTCTCAGGTTGATTTTTTTTTTTTGTCGTAGCTGGTGAGATATCTCCCTGAACCTTCTTATCCCCTCTACTTTTGTCTTTTAAAAAATAATGTTATTTTTGTTTAGTTAAGCTTTTAATCTGCTGACTAATTTCTTATAAATTGTGGTTGGTTTTGTTTCACCTTGAATATCTTTCTAAATCCAAAGCAAAAACATGAGGAGAAGAGGAAGTAGTACCCTGACACAATTAAGAATTGATGACTGGTTCCAGACTCAGACTGCATGTCAGTAAGTGTAAAAGATTTACTTTTCTTAAACAACCACCTTGAACCTCTGGTTATTTATAAGAGGTTTCAGTTTATGAGGTAAAGGTAGAAGCAGAAAATATAAATGCATGGGATATGCCTGCCTCTCTCTCTTTGTCTCTCTGCAAGAAATGTTTTTGCTGAATCAACAGAGAAGTAGCTAAAAAAATTACAGTGCACGTAACAGTCTACATTTCAGGGCTGAATTCATGGCACATCAACATTTTATTGATGACACAGTTTTCCTGGCATATTTGAGTCTAAATGCCATCAATGGAAAATTGAACTCTTTTCTATATCTTTTAGAATATTCCCCAAGAGGCATTCCAGTAGGTAAGAAAATTAACTGAATTCATCCCACTAAGATAAATTGTGTTATGATACATTTTGCAACTTAAATTATTCTTATTATTCAAAATAATGCAACACATATCTACAAATGTAGCTTTTCTAAAAAAACAAAAACAAAAAAAACAGCAATTTCTTTGCCCTAACTGCTATGTATCCCAATTTGTCCAGTGGATTTATAGTGGTAAAGTGTCTTCTAAACTCCAGAGACATTATACTTACATTTAATACCTGCATAGTCCCATCTATGTTCATGAAGATGGGAAACTACCTGGCTTCTCTTTAAATTTCTCCTAGCTAAATTTCCAAATTTCCAAACCTGACAAATAAGCCTTTATTAGTGCCTACTTATGTTGGGCTCACTGCTAAGAGAAGAACTGGAAGAAAAGATACAGATAAGAGCCTGGCTCCTATCCCAGAGAGGCTGACCTAGGAAGGCAAAAACAGAATCCCTGCCAGGATGAATTAATTCTCTTCTGCTGTCCTACTCTTAAATACAAAACTCTTTTGTCTTGCTACCCAAGAATGGTCAAGTTTTTGTTCTTCAAAGTTAAGGCAGGATTTAGCTTCCCAATGGCTTTACAATTATTGTCCAGAAGACCCAAATCTGTCTTCTGATAAATTCAAAGGGACTTGTTTTAAACAGCTATCATGAAGATAATATAGCTGTTCCTAACTATGATTTATCAAGAGCAACACATCTTCTTCCCCAGTGGCATGCATCTCTGTCATCCTGTCGATGCCAGATGGAATACCTCTTTAGTCTATCACTTGCTTTCCAGCAGTTATCACTAAATGGCTCAGATTCTGTTATGGTGGACATCTCTGTGCAGACTTCTACTTATTTATTTTAGCTTCTCTATCTCAGAGACCCAACCTAAAACAACAGATAAGCTCATGGATAAAAATTATCACATGCATTCCTTGTTCCCTGCCGGTTCCCTGTCAGATGTCGCCTGATTTTCTGGATTCATTATATACAAATGTCTCAACTCCTGTCATATGTGCTCTCTTTTCCAAATGACCTGTCAACACTGCAACGATCCTGGCTGAAGCCATTTTTGCTTTGTTTTCGGTTGCCACAGTACTGGGAGGGGGGAATGAGTGGTTTTAAGGTTAGACTAAACAATAAATTGTCCCCTGGGAACCAAGGTCATTGCTGCCTGACTTTTGGTGGGCTGAGCCTTCTGTTAGAAAGTCCGTCAAAGTATTATATTGGGGAACGCGGATAATAACATAGTGTTGGGGTGGGAAGTTCAACTTTGTAACATTGTAATGCTTGGGAGGGAATTACAGACTTGGTTTCACTTTTGACTATGCCGATACTTTGTAGCCAATAAATATGTTCTTTAAGGAAACCTCTAGCCTTGGAGTTCTGCTTTTACTGGTCTCATCTATTGGAACCATGACATGACCATTATTCTCTACCCCTACAATGCATATTTTGTCTTGAAACATTGTAGAATATTGCTTTAAACTATCCAAACCAATACTTGTAGACCAGGGTTTTTCAATCAGTGGTATGTATACCACTGGTGGTACTTTAGCACTGGCAGGTGGTACACGACCCCCTAGCCAAGTGTAGCAGAGGAGGGAATGAGCTAAAGCAGTGCTGCGCAGGCCTGGAGGAGACCAGGCTGGAGCTGCAGGGCTTGGCAGAAGCCCCAGGATCTATGTGCGCGGCTGCCTGTTGGTTGGAGTTTCCGGTGCACCAGGAAGAGAAAAGGAGGACGAGGAGGGTGGGGAGAGGAGAAACTATAAAAGGAGCAGGTATTGACGGGAGAGAAAAAAAACACATGGAGAAAGAGAGAGAATAGAAGAGGCTTTTGTTAGCAAAGCAGAGAGGAGAGAACGAGCAAGTAGCCTTTGCGAGTGAAGGGTGAGTGAAAGAGCGAGAGAGAAGCTTGTGTGAGAAATGTGTGAGTGAAAGAGTGAGAAAGAAGCTTTTGCAAGCAACGTGTGAGTGAAAGAGCAAGAGAGAAGCTTTTGCGAGCAACGTGTGAGTGAATGAGAACAAGAGAGAAGCTTTTGTGAACAACAAATGAATCTAACCAGTAAAGCCCAAAATCCCCCCCCCCTTTTTTAGTCATCAAGTTTTTGATGCCTTGCTAAGCAGTGGTGGTACTCAAATATTATTATGTCCTAAAAGTGGTACAATCTGTGAAAAGGTTGAAAAGCCCTGTTGTAGACTACTCAAGCCACTTTATGATTTCATTTTAGAAGATACCTGCCCTTAATGAGGTTCTTTGCTTTCACAAGTTAAGGGTCCTTTTTCTACTGATATGTAACTCAGACCTGTATGATCTAATAAGCTGTCCATGGTCTCAAATCATTTTTTTTTATGTCTGATGGTTATTTCCGGAAAGAGTCTTTAAACACAGCCAGTGATATCCATGAAACAATCTCTATATTTCAGTAATTTGCTCGAGTACTTACATTCTGATCACATTCCTTTTTTTAACATCCCAATAAGTGAACTAAATCTTGGTTTGATACAGAGTATGTCTCACAAAAGTATTTAAAGGTATGTCTAGCTTATAAAAATGTCCATAGCTACAACAATAATTCTTCATGTGAAACCTTCCATTCACCATAAAAGAGGCTACTGAAGGAGAAAAAGCAAAGTTATGCTTTATAGAATTGGGCCATGTTTCAACAGGCTTTGTTATGTAAAGATGGTTGCATGTTTTGATACCCAGGCACTCAGTTCCCAGCTAGATTTAATTCTACTAATATTTACATGCCAATTACCAATTCTTGGGACAAACATTCCATGACTTGATCAAGACACATCTAGGTGATAATCTGTATACCTGCTAATAGATAATATCCTTCCTGAATGGCCCTCAGAATGGCCCTAGAAATCCAAATATTCGTAGTTCAGTTGAAAACAGGAAAGCTTCTAGCAAAGACTTCATGTTATCAGAATTCCTAAAAATAAATGTTTAGTGGCATCCAAATTAGCGCTTCTTTTCATCCCTATAAATAATTCCTTGCATTTCCAAAAAGATTGGCTTAGTTGTATCATTGTCCCAATATATAAAAAGTTACAAAAGTGACCATGCTAATTATCAACAATTATTCATAGCTAATAAGCAAACTATGTGCTGTTCTTTTGCTATAAATTATTGGATTTGATGCTGTCACAAATGCATTTTAAAAAATGCAAAATTTCTTAAAGAAATGTCAGACATAATTTCAATAGAAAACAGCTGAATTACATGTCATCAAGATTTTCAACATCTTCTTTGATGTTTAACAGGGACATTAAAAAAATAATAACAATGTATTAATCCAGTGAGTAATTTGGGGTGTGTGTAATTATTTCATGGATGGCAATTACTATTAAAGTACTTATCAGCATCTATTCCTGCTG